TGGATACAAAATAACAAATTCTAAAATTATATTTTGTCATTCGATACATATTTCAAGGTTAATTACGATCACAGAATAATAATTTCATCTATATTACTGATGCGTATTCGGACTATTGAATTTTTTGCAAACAATAAAACTCTCGAAATAGGTCACGTTGCTTCCCACCTGACTGAGTTTTCGGTTCAATCAACCGGAACAAATGTCTTTAAATTGAATAAAACAAATCCAACGTGTAAAACTCGATAATACACCCGTGAATGATTGCGTGGTACACTTAATATAAATGATTTGTTGATAACGTAACAAGATCACAACGCTTTTACTATTTATTTCAAGAACTTTATTTATTACCAATGCTTGTCAAGATCACTATACAAACGATAGTTTAGTTGTTTTCCGAATACCGTCTAAACCGCGTGTTTTGATTCGAAAACCTTCGATAGTCTAAAATAAATTTTGTTAATGTTGATCAACAAGAACATTTTTCTTTAATTCGGTACAAATGTTTACATATTATCCACATTATATTAAGGCGTATAAAGAATTTTAATTTTAATAAAAAGAAAAGCAATTTCATTTTCCGTATCTCGCCCTACGAAGAATATTTATATATCAACACATTGTGTGACATTATCAGATAATTAAATCATCACACAATATCAGAACCGATATACAAAAAAAGTAAATTGTCGAAGGTAAGTTAATACGGTTTATTATTACTTTAACTGTCAGTGACAATGTGAATGATAACAACAGTTTAACGTATACAAATGTACGCTAAAACCTATAATTTTTTATCGGCCGTCCCTTAATCTGGTAATCTTGCCATAATAAATTACATTTGCGTGCGTCAGTACCTTAATGCTGTGAGCGTGACGTCTATAAAACAATTCCTCGTTCCATCGATGGAATTTCGCTTTTCGAGCATTGCAGCAAATATGAAACGACAACCGATAAAGAATTCGAATTTCGTAAGGAAGTAGTATAATTAGGGACATACTTGGAGCGATAAGAACTTTAAAACTTTAAAAATAAATAAACGACGTCCTTCGTAAAACTTATTAAGATAAGTGAAAAATGTATGGTGTAATTGGTTGTTGAGATATATTTGTACAATAATTGATTACATTTGTGATGTACTATAATTAAATGAGGAATAAATAGGATTGAGGAACTAACCACTATTCACCGCTATTGGGATTTCAAAGGCTTTCGTAGCATTTTACTGTATAAGCTAAAATCAATATCAGTTTTCATGACGTTTCCGCATGTGATCGTGTCGTCGAAAAAATCCGGACCTACATAAATGGGTTTGAGTAAAAATACAAACGAAACGAATTTTATAAAATAAAATCGAGGAACAAAGCCGAAGAAAGACTGTCAGCAACGGACATCCCCACCGTTATTTACTCGAGAAGAAGAAAAGTATCGAAGTCAATCGGTTTGTTTTTACATCGTCTAGACCCTGAGGGATATCTTTGGAAATAGCGGGACTTAACGGTTTGTGGCCGTAAAAGAAAAGAGCAGTAAGAAAAATAACCAAGAATATAAACACCTCCCCCTATTTTTATTTTTTTATTTATTTTTTTACGTTACGAACAAGAAGATACATGTTGAAGAAAATATTTTAAGAGTCTTTGTTAGGAGACAGGTAGCGTTAAGTCGGTTCTTGATGGTAGTAAACATAACATGAATCAACAGGAGAGACGATTGCTGGGATGATCGTTCACATTCGATATACTATAAATGGAGATTCACCGGAATGTTTCAAGGAAACTACGTTGACAAATCCCTTCAGAGGATTCCGCTTCACGTTCAATTATCTCCTATAAGCCGCTCCTATTGAAACGGATACATGCACAAGATAACAGATATCCGCGTTTGGATATGTTGCTGAATCGTCCCCATCACGTTACGACATACACGAGATTGCTTGAATAGATACCCAACTACTCGACAAATATTTCCTTGATGCTCCTATTTCAAATGTACGAGCAAAAAAGTTGACGTAATCCAAAATGTGTTTTGAAAACACCTTTTTGACATCACTTTTTCTTCTAAATCGATCATAACTTTATTATGGCAGGTGAATACTCCCCGGTTTATTTTTGCAACATCAAAAATAATGAATGTTTAGAAATTCTCTCTGAAGTGTAGCGTCATGACGCAGTTCTTTAATGGAGTGTTTACTCCAGCCACGGGTCTTTTCCTGGAATTACCGACAAACATATCTCCCACACTCATTGATCAAATCGGTTCATTCAAACAATATGTGGGCATATACGCAACAATAATAACCATTAATTAATTTGGGAATGTGTTGAATGCAAATTCTGTGATTTAAACCTTTTGTGGCTTTAAGCCTATTTCGGACACTAAGTTTTTCAATAGTTATAATATAAGGAAAAACGGACAGCAACCAATTATAGGCTAAATTAATATAGTCATGAATAATAATTACAACTAAGTTCATGTAGATGTTCCATAGAATCAATAAGGGAGATTCTCCAAAGAACTTTATTTTATTATTTGTGTTAGCTATTCGAAATGTTCGAAACCAAACGATTATTGAGCCTAGAAAATTCGTGATTAAACATTTTCAGGAAAGAAAATGTATACGAAAGATTGCAAACATTGATATCGTTGGTGCTGGAGAAGCCAAAAATCGCTCATAACAATTTCTTTAGTGGACCAGAACAGCGATATTTAGTACGAAAAAGGCAATTGCACCACAGCTGGGTATTCAAATGAGTTAGAAAAGAAAGATAGTGTGTCCGGAATATGCTTCATAATGCAAATTGAAATGGTAGAAAGACATGAAATTAATGTATTAAGAAAAAATGGTAATAATGCTGATAAGAAAGCTAAAAAAACTCCAAGCGAATACCTCGTACAACGTAAATGTTTTATAATTGCATAATTTCGCAATGTATAAATTTATTTTGTTCATTTTCTGATTTTGTCACGTTATATAAATCTCTAGAAATGGGAATCATATCTCATAAGTGTATGTGAGCTATGTAAACGACCACGGAAATCCCTCCCAATTCCCATCTTGGAATAAGGAATGAAACTCTAAGAGCGAAACTCCAATATTCTCAACTACTAAAATATTGTTATTAGAGCAATGTCTGGAATATTATTTATTACAAACGATGAACATAAATAATCTTAAATTCCAAGCTTTTCCAAATAACTTTACAGACTTGGATTGTGAATTGTACATTATAATAAAAATGTTTGGAGACTAAATCGTATTTTTTTTGTAACCAAGTTTAATGATTATTTTGAAAATTACACGATTTTAATATTTTTACCTTAATAACAATGATGATAACTATAGAACTATTTTTCTAAATATTCTATTCCTCAACTGTACACTTTGAGTTTAGTTTAATTACATAAACTTAGATGAAAAATTCGATAAAGCCTGATTTGTTTTGAAACCAAGATATGCATCTGTGACAACTAGATTGCTACAGTGTATAACTTGAAGGATGGAAAACAAATAAAATGTGATGGGCAAAATAAATATGACACTCAACAAAAATTGGAGGATTTATAAATTGGTTTTCTTGAATACTTGATGATATTTTCCTAAATAAATTGAAATGATTCATACATTGAGTTCTTAGTTATTGGTAAATAGAGCAATGTTTTCCTTAATTATCGGATGTGTTATAACCTGCAATGCAATTAAATTGGCAATGTCAAGTTACAATTAACGATCTTGAGGAGATTGCATAGTTTACGAGAAGAGACTGCTTGAAGGTTAGATCCTTCAGGTTTATTCTGCTGTGTAATAATCATTATCAAAATTTTAAGCAATAAGAATCCGTAAGCCGATAATATCGCAATCGCAGATCAGAGCAAAATGCATCTTTAAAGCAGATGCTAAATAATAACTTACATTTTTTATCAATAACTGACAGAATTTGAAAAAAGATGCATACTGCCATTTCATAAAAGAGAAGATAATAAAGATTACTCAAATTATAAAGGTAAATTAAGTGTACTAAAACTAGAAAATTAAAAGATGTTGTAGAACCAACATTATTCGAACTACAAATTGGATCTAGGAAAGGGATAGGTATTTAGGACAATTGGCAGAAAAATGCATACATAAGGTAGAAACATGACCCTTATGGACCTCGAAAATGTTTTTGATAGGGTGCCTAGAGATAGAGTGCTCTTTTGATAGAGGAGTAAAAAATAAATTAGTGAAGGTGATTGAAAGTGTATATAACAACAGCACGAACTACAAAACCTATAAAAGTTTGTAGATTTTGAGAGCTTCTGGCATTAGAAGTCATTAGTTGATTCATTCCATAATGATTCTAAATATATGTCGTTTATTTGTGATCGTTTTTTTCCTAGGTATTATGAATAAAACATCCTATAATATAAAAGTGTGGTTTCATTGTGCGACGGTTGAAATATACTTTGCTTTAGGTTATTATTAATATTTGAATTATAACCTCTCGATTATAAACAGGAGAGTTCTTATGGTATAATAATGAGGGTTACACCCACATTTACGTAGTAAAGATGTGGATAGAAAGTGGTTACCACCTACTTATGGATATCAACGTCAGTGATTGGGCCCACTTTCTATACCTTGTTTTGTAGTTTTGATCGTTTGCATAAATACCAATTCATGCGGAAAGAAAAAAATAAATGGGTGGGTATAAATCATCAGAGTTCACTGTATATTTTTATACCACGTACAAATTTCATTGGCAATTTCACTTGTGTCATACAAGGCGAGTCAGGGAAACGAGAAATCGTGAGAATTTCAATAAGTTTTAATATAAATTTTATAAAAATTACAAGTCATAGCGTAAATATTTAATATACAGTTGGTAAAGTAATCGGCGCAATATAATTGGAGTTCAAGCGATGTTATAAGCAATTAAGTTTAATCCTCTTGGATAAATCGGTGCCTCATTAACCGGGACGAAAAGTAAACATTCTAAAAAGATACACTTAAAACTTACCTTCAAGGACGCCATATCCGATACTGAACGATGTGTTTGTATAGTTTCGAGTTGGTCTAAGCACCAATCTAATTCTTCCATCGTTTCAAGTGCCATTTTCATGTATGAATCATCTAAAATTGAGTTTAAAAATTATTTATTAAAATTTAGAAACAAAATTACAAAAAAAAATTTGAGTAACCTTTATGCAATTTAAATCTTCGCAACACCATTTCAAAAATAAAAGAAACTTATTAATTGTATAAAAATGATTCGAAATTGTGCAACTTGTAAACGTAAAAACAATTGTAATCTTAGTTAGGTACTAAGGTATAACGTAACATTAACTTTTTGTTAAACGTTTATCGCTTTTTCCTTATTATCTATGGAATTTAAAAATCGCGGTGCATCCTGATGTAATTCAAATATTTTTTTATTTATCGTATTTTATATATTTTTTTTTATTTGGTTGAATCATATATAGTAATGATATAATTTAAATAAATTAATCAATTTATTTCTTTAAAGTAACAAATGTTGGGTTGTCTATGTACTTTGTAAAGATAATGATAACGGCCTTTAACATGTCATAATAATCCGTTTATAACTTGTTTACGCCATGTTCTACGTGTTATAATTTATTGCATACAATACTGTACATGGTAATAGCTTAAATACATGTTTTGAAACCGTAAAATTGAGCGATTTTTAGACGTTTTCGTTCTAAATTTAGAACTGATCATATAAAAATTAATTAAGTTAGCTTTAAGTTAACTAGAACATAAATCGTTTATTTTTAACTGATTATTTTAGTTCCGAAATTAAGGTTTCTATATAGATATAGAATTTAGAGAAATATAAAGGAATCGTATTTCTTGGTAAAGTTATTACTCTGAGTGAACCATTCAAGGAATTCATTTATTTATTTCTTGTTCTCAGACACTAAGTAACAACAAAGTATATATATACATATAACAATGAGTTTGTTTAAATCAAAGGAAAAGTAATGTGGAACGTTTAAATTGCCGCGTCATTTGGTCCTACCTACCAACTGGTTTCGTAAATCAACCTTAAAGGTCAGTTACTGACGTCACAATAGCGGAATAGCAGGATTTAAAAGAAATGAAAGAAAAGAGACTCAAGGGAATTTTCATTTAGATTTTTATATACAATGGGATGTAAAGTCGAGTTATTCAGATTAAAATTAATTTTTTCCCATTATACAACATAATAATGTATTGTAATACTTTTTAATAATAAAAATGTGCTCTTAATAGGTAAAACCTCGACATAGCGGATTAATACGGGGAAGGGAGTGTCCGTTATAGCCAAAAAAATATAGGTACAACAATCTAGCGCTAATTAACAACTAAAACTAACATTAGACCTAGAACTAGAAATATGCGGCTCTTAAGACGGCTAAACACGAATATTTCTAGTTCTAAGTATAGCGGTCGTTGTAATACTAGTGTTAGTTCTACTCTTAATTATTATTCAGAGCTAGATTGTTGTATATTTTTATTGAAGTAAAAGCGTCTGAAGACACACGGCTAAACCCGAATGTTTCTAGTTCAGTTTTAGTTCAATAAAAAATATACAACAATCTAATGCTGAATAATAACTAAAACTAAAGTCCTTGATTTATGGATCGTACAGACAACTCGGAGAATAATATAACTTAAAACTATTTTGTTCGTTATATGTATCTGAAGTCCGTTATATCAAGATTTTACTGTACTTTTAAAATTAGATTAACGAAGATTTAAATTAGATTTATTTAGAATATCTACAATTAATAATTCTATTTTTTCTCATACCTCCGTAATTAACATTTCTGGGTGGTGGTGGTGCAGTTGCTGCAGCCCCTGATGATCGACGAGATCTAAAAAACGAAGAAAAAACGTGATCTTAATTTACATCCAATTTATTACTCAGAAAATCGTTACTGGCTCCTCCACCATAAAAGTCATTAAGAGAGAATTTTGGTATTAATTTTAGCTTTGTAGAATAAAATAAATAGAAAGTTATATCAGATTGATATTCTTTTTAAAGCGATCTCGTTGCACAATTTATATTTTATATAAATTAATGGAATAGATGGAAAGGTAAATAGCCTTGAACTTTCAAGCGTACTGACCAACTGTAACGAACAGAGCGGACAGGTAAATATAATCAGGATGATGGAAGAGTTTGTTAACTGGACAATGTTTGATCGAAAAGTTACGTGTTGAACTTAGTTTTCAAATCATTGCAAGTATGTTTCTAATACGATTAAAAAAGCTACACTTTACCAATTTTTTTCATCCAAACAAACATTCTTTATTATTATCCATTTATTTCAGATGGAAAACAACGAATTAAAGTTAATTATGCATATACCGCGCGTAGTTTCCTGTATGTATTCATAATTTGTATTACACTCATTTATCTGCACGTGGTTTTGTCAACCTTGCTATTACATCGTGAGTAGGCAGATGCTTAATGATCTCGGTGACAAAACAAATGGAATGCACTTTATATAACTTTAGGTTAAAATTTGTTCATTTATTTTTCTTAGGTGATATTTAATTTACCTTTTATTGACATGTTTGAAAACGGCCCCTCTTATAAGGTCAAAGATCGACGTTCGTTAATTAATTAGAATCGAAGTTTGGGTGAACATTTTATGTAAACTTAGCTTGAAAGCTGCCTACAGCAAGCAAGCACCTGATATTGGAAACAAACGTCGATTACGACCCGTCGCTCATAAAAGAGCTCAAAAACAGAACCCCGAAATATTAATTTTCGTTTCAAAAATTTTCATACTCGTAAATCCGTACCGACATGCAAAGCTTGTTTCGAAAACATTCTCCAAATGCAAAATGTTTTGTGGAATACCGATCGTTATTATTATTGGAATAGTCGAATTTGCGTATTTACGCAGAAATCTAGTTTGAAATTCGGTATCATGTAACATGTTAAGTAATAAGTCATAATATTAATAGATTGAACCAGAAAAACATCACGATCATTTTGTACTCGATTAAATAAATAACTTGACTTTTAATGATATAATAAATTATTAAAATTATCGATTTGAACATACCGTAAATTACTTATTTATTGATGTAAACAGAGCAAAAGTTCGGGGAAATAATGTAAGCTTCAAATACGACCAAAAAAAAAAAAGGTTAAACACGTTATTTTGACATTAATTGAGGTGAAACTGGACGGTTTATGTGATTATATTTTTTGAATTGACATTTGAATTGCAAAATATCGATTGAAAATATCAAATAATGAGTTACAGGAAACACATAGTTGATTTTTGATGCTATTTCTCCCAAATAGATTCAAATTCAAATGAAAAAGTTTTTTTTAAGTAGATTAATATGCAATAACATAAAACAAAATTTAGAAAATTTGGTATTAAAGAACAAAGAGGGACTTTATCCCTTTGTTGCTATCATTAACGTATTACATCAACATAGATTATTTCAGTATAAAATCACATTTATAGAAGATATAAAGTCCCAGTAATTTAATCAATTTCATCTTTGCTCTATGGTATGTCGTATTTTTATGGACAATGATTGGTAGTAAAGTGCACATCTGAGGTTTATTTATTTAAGTTGTTTACACTTACTGGAACTCAATGTCTCCTTAATGCTACTTGTTTAAGTGTTTCCCACTAATTAGCTTATTAGCGCAGGGAAGATATCGTCTCATAATACGAGAATAGTTTTAACTTAATTGGGAGGCAACTTCAGCATGTACTAAAACACTCATAAAGCCAGTTAAATTAAATTGATGGAGTAAACTATCATTCTGTAATACTTCTATCATTCTACTACCTTTATAACTACTTTTATCCCAAGTTAATTTTTTTATTTTAATTGTTCAGTCTAAAACTAAAATCAGAAACAATTTAATTAGCGACGTAGAAATGAATAACTATTGATAACAAAATATGAATAGTCGCCAGTTCGCGATTCTGCGAACAACTTGTGAAATATTATTTGGAATTAGGACATTTAATAAAGTTCGTACCGGGTATTTTCATATTATTGCGTTGATTCTTCCTGGTATAAAATTTACGATTTATTTTGCAGCACAATAACAGTTCTCTGAATATCTTTGTGACATCCGACCAGCTAACATGTAAAGTTAGTATTTTCAGTAATATCACCACAATTATAATTTTGGAACAAAAAATTATTTCCTTTACTCTCAATAAATAATGTTGTTTCAGTAAAATTTCGATTAATAATGAAAATTTTAAATCAAATTCACCATCCACAAATTTTATTTGCCTTTTTATGATCAAATTTTGAAATGATGAAAATGTCAAGCGTAAATCAATAAATCAGAGCAAGGATTTCATCGAAATAATAGATGGATATTTTCATCAAAACTGGAAAAATGTCAAAGTGCATACAATTTCTGTTTCGATGAAAAAAGTTGATGAAATTATCAAAACTTTAACTTCCAGAAGAGTTTATTTTGAGGCTCGAATTTTCAGTTTTGTTTGCAAAAATACTCCGTTGAGCGATTTCTTGACCTCCTTTTAAACAGGAAAAGGGAAATAGACAATCTTAAAGATCGATAATTTATTCGATTGGGAAGAGAATATTTTAAGGTAAATTTTAATCGGGGAAAATATTCCAAAATCATTTAAAGAACAATAAATTTTCGTACGATTAAACAAATATTAGATGTTTGCCGAATTTCAATTTCCTAGTAGTAACAAATTTCCCCTGAATTACTAACTGTTTACATTCCAACCTATTTACAATGCTGAATTAAACCAAAACGGTAAGAATACAATAGGAAAAAGATTATACATTTTTATGTTGCTAAATAAACTTAATAAATATTATTAAAAAAAATGATTGAAAGAATAAATTCTTTCGTCGTTTATTTTCAAGAAACAATCCGCAAACGTATTAACGAGGTACGTAAATGTTATTTACTCGGGTCAAAGTTTCATAAACATACGGTAAACTCACTTGTTTGTGGGCACATTGGTGAGATGGAGAAAGTTGTTTCGAACGCTGCGTAAACTGGCAAGAATTTGTGCGAATGGCGTGACGATAAGGTCTTCCCCATGGCTGAAACAAGAAATAATCATAAATTTATTAGGATTTCTAATTTATTTAATTAGCATTTATATAATTTTCTTAATTTGGTATTGAATTTGTAATAAAATGCAAGTGAAAGTTTTTTTATTCAGATTAATTTCGAGAATTAGCAACATAATCCACAAATATATCATATAAATTTTGTGATTCATGGAAATAGAAATTTTAATTACCTTTATTACATATTAAATTTAAATTTATTTTTTCGATATCATTCATTCATTTAATATAATTAGAGTGGGTAAAATTCGTTATAATTTCGACTCTATTGACACTCAAAATGAGCTATACGAAGTGAATTACCCGTACAAAAGGTATTCATGGATCGAGCGCGTTGTCACTAAATGCATGCCATCGGTTGCATTTAGTGCATCTCTTTTGAAAATGGTCCAAGCGTACAATTTCAATTTTAACCCATTATACTCCAAAAACTAAATTTCTATGAGTCTAAATGTAACTTTTTGACTATTCACACCTACATATCATTACCAATAAATAAAAATGAAACCAAACAATACTTTATACCTTCTTCTCTCTCTGATTTTTCGATTGGGTTCGAATAATCCCATCTTGATTATTAAACAAGAGATGAAATGTCACACGGCTTTTTTTGTTAAAGCGCGAATCACATAGCACGGATGTTGTAGTAATCTGCGTAAAATCGGGAACTGGCGCGGATTTGCAAAATTCTTGGGAGGCGCAGAGGTAGTCTGTTTGCGTAACAGTTTCGGCTGGATTGTGTTTGAGTTTCTGACGTTGCCGACGTAAAATTTATGAAGTACATTGGTAACCGCGTGTTTATAATTAATCGGCTTAGCGAAAATAGCTTAAGCACGGGCCACAGCCTATAAGTGCGGTAATGTAAACGTCATTACGACCACGTTGATTGGCTCCGAATGGAACGTATATAACAAAATTTCGCGGTGCATCTGAATCTCTCGTTCGGATAATATAATTTTGGAAATGTTCCATTAACTACTAGTTTATCCAGCTAACTATACCCTCATTGATTCAATTTTATTTTATTTTATTACTTAATTAGAGTAGCCGATTGATTGTTTGTAAATATATTATAGTGTAGCATTAAATTTCAAGATATAAATATTGCTTAATATATTAGAGGCTTAAAATTGATATAAAATATCGAACAAAGTCTAGCGGTCAAATCTATTTTCGTATGACGTATGTGAGTTATTGATGTGTTAAGATCTTCAAAAATTCAATTACGAAAATCGATCATGCCAGCTCCGAAACGTTTTGTAAGTAGTAATAACACAAAAAAAAATTAAATAAATATAATTTAGAGTACAAAAAGTAGGGAATCAAGAAAATCTTTGGTATAAGTGCCATTTCAACTTATTTTGAGAAAAATCTTTTATAAAATGATGGTGCCAAATTTTAATTACAATTACTGAATACTGATTTGGAACAATTACATATTCTGAATTAGTCGAATCTACATTAATATCAACTGACAGATCGATCATGTTATGAGGTACAACCAATAATTAATTCGGATTGAATTTGCTGAAATAAAATGATTCATTATTTTGTCGATAAATTCGTCATGATTGAATATCAAAAAGAATATGTCGCAATAATTATATTATATATCATATATTATGACAACGTAAAATATCTTCAAGGGAATTTTAATATCAAACTAATAATTTTATTTAAAATATTGAACATATTCAAACAAGAATTGGTGTGTGAAAAATTCTACATGTAACTTTAAAAAGTGTCGTTATATGCTTAGCACCGTCGTCGTTATATCCTCAATCAAATGGTCAAGACGAAAGGTTTATGAATACCACGAAAATAAATTTATAAAAATCAAAACAGGAAGGAAGGTTGATAGATTTATTAAAAATATTTTTTATTTTCATGTCGAAATACGCGTGTGAAATTCTAGGAAACAAATCTCCATCAAAATCATTTCTAATTCTGATGGGGATAGATGCCAATTTGGATATGTTTAGTGTCACATTATCAAAATTTGTGCCAATTTGATTTCGAAGATCAGAAATAGTCGGGATTTGCGGAATGGTTTTGAGAAGAGGATTATTTTGAATACAACGCAAATGCATATTACAAATGATTTATTTGATGTTGATGCCTTGAATAATGTTTTACCTTAAGAATGACAAATGTGTATTACGTAGATGAGGTTGAATTAAGCCAAGCTTCTAAAGAGGAAGTCGTATATATGTTATACATTACAGAGCTAAACACACATTTTCACTTTATATCAGCTTAATTGATAGAGTTGAATTCAGACTTATAAAGTAATCATTTTTTATTATTCTACTATGTAGTAAGTTTTTTAAAACCTTTGTAAATCTTCTTTATGGTATATCTTAAAGTTACATACATTTTGGTCCAATAATGTCAATTTTCAATTAGATTCATATAAACTGTCTGTGGGCACCTTTGATTAGGCAGTTCTAAATAAGCCACGACTGCACGATTCCAGATTTGTGCCCACCCGAAGTATATTATTTTGATCAAATCGAAAACAATTTGGTATGTCGAGATTTTCATAATTTAGAAGCAATTTTGCTGTAACATAACTTAACTAAGATATATGTTAACTATTAGTAATATTGAAATACTATTATCATTAATTTATTATTAATATAGTAAAATAAAATGTAGGAAATTTAATAATTCGTTTAGAAATTATAGAAGCTAGGATATAAACAAAGATTTTAATTTAAATGTACAAATAGAACTTTATATTTCCTTTAGTATTGAGAACTCTATAAACTGGAGTGTTAGAATGGTTGCCTGCAAAGTAGGTACAATGTAACAATGTTGATTTAAGTGCAAATTTTAAATAGAATAGTTTTTGTATATTATTTTCAGTTCATTTTTATTTTTTAATTAATTACTCCAATTTTATTTGATATGAAAAAAAATACCATTATCTATTCTGTGACTGTAGACGAACTTTCTAAGTTTAAAAAAGAGAATTAAATCTTATTAGCTCCTTATTTTAAGGAGCTCCAGGCAATTCTTAATTATTTCCGACCAGTAGAAGAGAATTGAGAACTCGGAGGAAGAAGAGAACAAATCTAAATTTTTACATTTTTGGAAACTTTAACAAATGTCACAATTGTTAAGATAAAAAGTTTTGTTACAATTTTCTAAAGACTAAAAAAGAATTCTAAAAAATAATACTTTGTGCATTAATTCGTTAATTAATCCATTTTTAAATCCGTAACCCACGGAAACTTTGTCGTTGTATCTTTACTCTACTAACCTACATTTTTAGAAACTTGCTAAGATTAAGGAGTTTCTAGTGGTGCATTCCCGGGAGGTTATATTTAGAACTAACAACTACAATACAAGCAGTTGCGCTAGAAATACTTTACAACGCAAAAACCTTGTTATTTTTAATGAAGCTTTCATGTTATAACCTTAATAATATCTTGTATAATGAGTATCTCGTAACATATTGATTACAAATAAGAAAATGAGAGAGCAGCAGAAATGCAAAGCTAAATATAATCCATCAAGAAGCTTAATCCAATAGGTACCATTAAACTTTGGATAGATTAAATTTAGTTTATATAGTTGGTGAAATCGAATGAGCATTATCTATAGGGATTATCAATATTATTGAGTTGAAAATCTTGGATCAAACTTAATTAATCGATACCTTCATGTATAATATTAGGCATAATTATTCAAGTAATTATAAAAGCAAGATTAAAAGAAAATCTGGATTTGAACTAAACAGAACCGATTTAGAACGGTTTAGATGTTGTAAGAACTAGTTGCGTAGTAGATTCAGTTCATCGAAACTGAATAGTTTACTAACAGTAGAGTTTGCCGTAAAATCCTAAACTTCTAAATTGATGTTTTTGGATAAAAGTTTTTATTATAACTGGAAATCGAAAAATGTTTCTAAAGTTGTTTTCTTCTGTGTGTCTTTCTAAAGAAGTAATTGAGATATTAAGGTGTAATAAAAAAAAATTTAATTTATATCAATATGCATTTTTGATGGGTTAAGTTTGTAAATACCTGTCATAAAATCATATCTTAAACAGTAAATGCTTCAGAATAAATTTAACCTAATTTCAACTAGAGATGGGCACGTGAGTGATTTTTTATGCCCGCTCATGTTTCAACCCACCAAAAATCCTTTTCTATAAACCATGATAATTTCATACATTGATTAGAAGACGCTATCCTGTATCTGTTATTGCTGCTTCTCCAGGGTCTAATGTTTTATCTTGATAACATATAATCATGAGCGATAAAGTGTTTTGAGAGAGGAAACAATTAGACGACCACTAAATCTATTTCACTTGGAAAAAGAATCTAAAATTAGAAATTGAAGTTAGGTAAAGACAATAAAATATAACATTGAAATTTTTGCATACTGGCTCATAAATGTTCATAAAATCAAAATAACTTAGGATTGTATCATGATATTTTTAATGCCACAGATGCCGTTCGTACAAATTACCGAAAGCAAGTTGTAGATAATACAACTTCCATAAGAAAACGTGACAAAAGTTGGAAGTATCTACTACCATAAGTAAAGTGTAACATAACAATGTTAATTGCACGATCAGATGATAATTTCGTATGATAATCTTCGCGTCATACGAAGAATAGTTTCGATGTTATGAATCCAATATAGCAAGATTTAAATTAATTTTAAAATCATTGTTAATTTTATAAGAAAAATTGATGAGTTGTAGTGTAAGAGTTGACAATGTATCACCCACATTATTTTATCTTTTTAATATCGCACCAGAATCTTGTTGATACCTATCTAAACATTCATAAAACTTTGTACTTTGTAGATTACTGACCTGATTTCGTCATTAACAATAATAAATAATAAAGTTTAACGTTCGAAATCGTCTTGTTATCGCTATCACAAGAATTTTTACAACTTTTTGGTAGCAAGAACAATGCGTATCTGAAATTAAATTCATTATTATCTTGATGGA